TGGTGGCTCAAAGGCTGAAAAGGGGAGCAGCTTCTCCGTTTTGTACAACTAAACAGCTCTGGCTSCATGTGCTGCAAGTTCTGCAGCTTSTSCTGGCTTTATTTTAAATKCTGAGTTATTTTAGAAGTGGACTCAWCCAGGGGAGTCCCAATTTATCAAATTTCAGCTCTCAGCTGCACAGCGTGTTCAATCCAAACTCCAGCTGCATATAAATTATATGATAATTTCAGTTTTTCGAGGCTGTTTATTATAGAAAAGTTGTTCTGTGTGCCCATATGCTGCACTAATTCGGGTGGAAMGAGCTAATTATAAGTTGATGTCATGTGGCTAAAAAAAATCCGTGTTTATTCCTTCCGTATTCCACAGCTCTGACTTTCTCAACCACGCTTGCAGGAGGCACTTGTGATGTGTTTTCTGGGCCTGGGACCTCGCTGGATAAAGTTCTTTATTGTGCATTTTCTAATTCAAAAAGCTGAATCTCATGCAAAATCTTTGTGGGCAGCAGCAGGCTCATTCTTCTCCTGCTTTATTTTTCACTGAATAACAGCAGAGTTGTGGTTTTTGTATGTTATTTTCATTTTTTTTTCCAGAAAAAGAAGTGAAATAGGCACACTGACTATTTTAAACCAGTGAGTGTATTGTAGGGAATGTGCCACGGTCTGCACAGATCATTGGGGAAAGCAGATTTGGGAGAAATCATGAATTTTGTCCAAATAAAAAGTGACTTGATTGCTTTTCTGGGGACTGCAGTGGTTCAGTTGTGATAGATGAAGGTAAAACACTGACCTGATAACCTTTATATCTCAGCAGCACCTAAATGATGTACAATTGTGCTGTTTTATTGCAAAAATTACAATGATAATGTTCACTCTTATTTGAAGAATTTATAATTCTGGAGAAAATTTCTATCTAATGCTTTTTTGAAGGAGCACATAGCACACAGCAGCTCACTGTGCATTGTCTGGAAAGTAATGAAAGTCTAATTTTGTGTAAAAAACCCCTCAAATTTCCTATAGACACCTTCTCAAACCCACAGTTAGGGATGCYGTCTCCTCTCAAATCATGCACACCTATGTTAGAGGTTAAAAAAAAAGGGGGTGAGTGTAAAAATAGATTAAAAAATTAATAAACAACCCCAAATTCTCTGTCTGAAAAGAACCCCCATGGATGTGGGGGTGGAGGAGAATGCAGCAGCCCACCATGAAACATTTTAATTTTAACACTACAATTTCCTATTCCTCTCCTGCTAACAAAGATTGCAAAAGTGGTGGCTGGAGGTGAAAGTTTCAGGGGTGAGATTCCAGAAGACAAATCCTACCTGCAAACTGCTCATCTCCTCCACTCCTAACCTGGGGTAAAACCAGCGAGAAGTCACTGCAAACACAGCAGGAAAAATGCCCCAGGACTCCTCACCCACTGGGATCCTTGGAAAAGCTTTTMCACCTTGCAAACAATGAATCCTTACATTTTAAAAAGAAAAATGAAAGATTTTGCGTGGCAGTTTAACAGCAGGAAACATCTGCACTTTTGGTAGAGAAGAACTCGATGGGAGAACACTTTTTTTTTGGGAAGAGGATTTCTTTTGGGTGAAATGTTTGGGATAAAGACATTACTGGTTCATCTGAAGCAGGTGATGGTCACTGATGCTGCTGCATCTCCTGAAAGCCAGAATAAAGCCTGAGATGAAGTGGAGAAAGTCTCTTCCACTGCTTAGTCTCAATATTGAYGTTAATTAGTGTTAAAAACAAAATTCCAGTGACTTTGGATGCTCGTGAGATTGGAAGAGCTTTCCTCACTTCAGCAGAACTTGCAGGTGTTCACACTGAATTCTGACAATTAAACCCCAAAYGTCAAATTCATGAGGTCAGAGATAATTCTGGAAAATGTTGTCACAGTTATGACAATGGTTTCTTTTGGGTTTTTATATGATTTATCAAACCATAGTAAGGAGAGGAACCTTATCTTATCTTGAAAAAGCTGCTCATCTTTCCACCTGCATTGAAAGTTCTGTCTGCCTTGTGCAGTCCAAGCTCAGTTTTCTCTGACTTTATTGGAAAATGATTCCTAAACACTAAATGAAAATGATCATAGGTCTACAATACCAAACTGTAAAAAATTTTAACTGTTGCTTGGCAGCACCTGCAAGAGGATCCCACACTTCTTTTTCTGGGGTTTTTTATTTTTTTTTTCAATGAAAGAAATCTGAAGCAATCAGATTTTAGTCAAGAAATCATTATTGACAGTTCACAGATTTATTGTTTTCTTTGGTGGCTTTATCTGTGAACATATTAATCAGGAAATGTCACTGCCCCAGGGGAAGCAGAAATGAGAATTCAGAAATATTTCTGAGCTACTCTTTTCCATGAGAAATGTCCTGTATTAAAGCAAAAAGTGCCAGGATGGATTTTCCTTAGAGATATTTGGGTTGTTGGAATTAAGGACCTCGAACTTTCAATCACAGAAACCAGAATTGACACCCTGACTGCTCTGTAAACCACTGGCTTTGCATGAAATCAACTTTATCAGCTGAAAAATCAAGGAGTCTTCCTAGAATTAATCATTGTTTCTACTTTATTAACAACGTATATAAAATTAAAAATAACAGACGAATATTTTTAAAGCAGTATTACTTCTCAKTGTCTACAAGTTAAAACATTGCATAAATAACTTCTGGGAAAAAAAATAAATACATAATTCACTCTCTGAAATGATACCTTTTCTCTCTAGRTTCTGGTCCCACATAAAACAATTGAAAAACCTATCAACATTGCAAATTTCCACAGTTTCTATTATTTCAGCATGAATCCTACAGGATGCATACAGCACGTGACAATTCACTTTCTAACAATAATCTTTAATGTAAAAACACAAACAYTGAGAAGCTAAGTAAAGGAAAGTCGCTGCCAAACTAAAGATTTACCAAAACTACATTCACTAAAGACTTTTCTAGAGGAATTCATGACTTAGCAGAGGCTCACTTTTAATGCAGAACCACCACCTTACTCACAGGGCTTGGTTTGCACTGTTTTAGTGCTGCAAAGTGTGGGGACAAATAATCCAAACTCTACAGAACAGGAAATGTAAATGGTAAAGCTGATGTTGAAGTCAAATGTGTGCTAGGAAATAAGGAGCAATCAGGATATTTTCTGTTAAAATMTGTGTATTTCTGCTGTTTACAGGACAAACATCAGTGAGGTTATCTGGTTTGAGAGGAGCATTTRATTCATAAATCTGCTCCACTTGGTAGGACTTGTTGACCTGTCCCTAAAACAAAACCTCGTTCCTAAATCAATATGGTTTTAGTTGCCAAATCTCAGTTTTGAATCTGTCGACCCCATMATCTTTTAATTACAAGTGTGAAACAGATTTGTCACACTTCTGTTTTGAGAACTCTAGTGTGAGATTTTGATTTCTGTGTTTGAGAGGAAACACCTGGCACCTGAGGACACCTGAAATTGCGTTCATTTCCCAACAATTTGACTTCTTTCACCACGAGCTGAAATCCCTGCTGTCCCCGAGCTCCCAGGGCTCGTTCAGAGGTGCCACCTCCTCCAGTGCCTCCCCAATGCCAGGCTTGTCCTGCGCCCTGGCACCTGCCTGGGAAAGGGATCTCAATGTTCTTTTCACATCAAGTGAGTTGGAATGATTTCCTAGCAAAGCTTGATTGTCACCAAAACAATCCTCTGCTCCCATCTCATGCCAGACACACAAACTCACCCCAATCCCAGGTGTACCCCCAGCTCGCTTTATCTCACTCCCTTATCAGACCATAAGTGCTACAATCTGATCGATTTTTTATTGAATTTTTTTTTTGCCTACGTGAGCCTTTGACCCAGCTTAGCAGAAGGAATTGGAACCTACTGCGCTCAGAACATCATTTTGCGGCCTCTGAGTGCCTTTTTTGGATGGTTTTACAAAATACCCCGAGCTGCTAGTCCGTGTCACCCAGCGCCACCTCCTAGTACGCGTTCTCTAACTCGTGCTGGTTGGATTTGCCGCTCCTGGCTCGGCCCAGGTGGGGTTTTTTATTCTTTTGAGGCCGGGTGCTTTCYTTGCCGAAGTCCTTGAGCTCGGACTGGTTGTGGTAGCGGGTGTAGCGCTTGCATTTGCACGCCGTGACCGCCCGCAATTTGTGAGTCCGCGTCTCCTGCTCGGGGCAGGCGAGCAAAACGCGCTGGGTGCGGCTGTGAGCGGGGATGCAGCGGTAATCCAGCGAGTTCTGCCGCCACCACTTGCCTCTGCCGATGGAGTTGGGCAGGAGATGGGAAGGGAGGCAYTGGCCCGAGCACAGCAGCTCCTTGACCGGCTTCAGGCTGCGGCACGGCCCCTCGGTCACATAGCGGGTGATGCGCAGCTCCCGGCAGCTGAAATCGGCCGCGTCTGCAAAGGAGAAGCACTCGGTTAAT